GGGGAAAACGATACTGTCCTCTTTTTAAAATTTTCCGATGTATTAGACAAAGAAGGCCCACAACTCATAAAGGCGAAATGGGCCCAGGCCTGCGCATTTAACGTTCCATGCCTGTTCTCGAAGGCAAGGCCCGCATGCTGGCACGACACGTCACACTTATAAACAGGCCTCCATGTGCCGTGTCATGCGAGGCCCATTTATGGCCGGGCCGTTGGCTACTGGAAAGCCGACCAAAAACCCTCTTTCCCCCCTCTGCTCTGCGCCGGATACTCGGCTTCGAAAAATACACGACTAGCACACACGACAACGACTGAGTCTGTGAAGCGCGCCGTGTATCCAGTTCAGAGAGGGGGAAAGAGGGTTTTTGGCCGGCTTTCAACTCGAGATCCAGTGACCAACCCATCATAATTGGCGGCGGTGACCGAGTGGGAGAAGCGCGATGCCGCTTGCCGGCGCCGTCCCTCCGCCGCAATTCTTCTCCTTGTCGTCCTCTCAGCCAAGGGACGGCCGTTCAAGGGCATCGTGCCTAATAGCGGGAGAGTGGACTTGGTCGGCAACAACGTCACGGCGACGGCCGACGTGGCAGCGATATGCTACCAGAGGAGCGCCATCGACGAAGAAGCCAAGGCCAAGCAAGACGGTCATCGATGTGGCCCCGCTCGACACACAGCAAGTGAAATAATCACAAAAACTTATGTCTGCTTCAATCAACTTAACACGAGGCGCTAAATATAATTGATCAAAGTGAAATCCACTGCAACTCTATTTTGGCCACAAGTTCACGGGTGCAAACATACCAGGACGTGTGAAATTTCGCCGCGCGCGAAGTTTCGTGGAAAGTCCCACGAAGAAAAACCCCATCGGTGTACAATTTCCTCAATCAGAGACACAAATCCTATGTGGCACGCGCATTCACTCATCGAGTGTCGAAAGAGAATTGGAATCGAGGTAGTTGCGATAGGCTAGGCACTGGGTCTGGAGTTGAAGTCGAGCCGCCGGCCAAAAAACCCTCTTTTCCCCCCTGCTCATCAGTGTTCTCACTTCTCAGGGCCGGAGAAGCACAATGGCGCCGCTCGCCGGAGCCGCCGTGGCCTCCTGCATGATCCTGCTCCTCCTGCTCGTCCCCTGCGCCCAGGGACAGGGGCAACCACCCGAGGCGTCGGAGGAAGCTTGGGCCGAGGGGCAACCACCGGAGGCGTCGGAAGACGCTCTGACGACGCTCTTATCCGAGGGCGGGTGCGGCGCCTTCGCCGCCCTCGTCGCCGCGACGGCCGGAGTGGGCGACGCGTTCCGCGAGCAGATCGCCGGCGACCTGGGGCTCACGCTCCTCTGCCCTGATGACGATGCGGTGCGGGCGTTCATCCCGAGGTTCCATAGCCTCACCGTCGAGGAGCAGGTCGCGGCCCTCCTGTACCACGGCCTGACGATGGCCTACTCCGAGGAGCAGCTCAGCTGGGTCCACTGGAAGGTGTCGACGCTTGATGGGGAGCAGATGCTCACCGTCTGTCACCACAGAGGCAGGGTGATACTTTCTTCGTGGCCGCCGTCGTCACGAAACGAGGCCCGGATCACCAAGACTGTCGTCGGCGACGACCATCTCGCCGTGTACCTCATCGACGCCGTGCTGATTCCGGCAGATCCCAAGCCTCAAATGTCGTTCTGGGGCGTTTTGGCAGTTATCGTCGTCCTTCTAGTACTTCTTGTCGTCGGGATCGCGGCGATGTGAGTTTTCTTTCCTCACGCCTAATTCCGCTACGATCAAATGGAAGCACATGCAAAACGCAGCACGTACGCCTGTCCATAGCTTCAGTTCATGCGATTTGTTGGTGTACTAGCTCGCTCTTGTTCCGTCCCACAGAGTTTTGAGCGCCTTCGATCGAGCTGGTGCTAGAGGATTCTATCTATGTATAAATCGTATAGTACATTTAGTCGACAGTAATTTAGATTTGGCTTTCTGTACACACATCAATTTAATGAACATTATAGACGTAAAAAATGCTTTTATATTACTAGGACGGAGTGAGTAGTTTTAATTAACTCACTATTATGCTCTCTGAACCAAACGGGTAAATTTTAAACCCCACTGTTAGTTCATTTCAGACGGGTGTACTGAAGCAATGCTTGTACGGCTGCTTGAATTGCTCCAGCTTTTCCAAATCTCACTCTAATTATGTACGCTAACTGTATCTGTTATTTTTATCTTGCGGGCGGCTAACTCTGTATCTATGCTCATTTAACCTGCAGAGTCCTGCTGTGTCATGCACTTGTATATCTTTGTTCTCTTCTGCCCCGGCTGGGAAGATGGTGTAAGGGTCGTGTTGCTGCCTACGCTTCGGCCGCCCGTGTCACTCCACATGCGCAAGGGCAACAAGAACACTAGTCTGTGGCCGCTTCGGAGTGCCTCGACTCCCTGGGTCGTTCCCTCGTGCTTATTTCCGTTCGTGGTGACAGATTTCACGGTTGTTTTCTCCGTCTTCGATGTATATAGCGGTGTTCAGCAGGGTGGTGGCATGGTCAGTTGATGAAACTGCAGGATCTAGATCGTGTTATTTTTCTATGTATATAGTAAACTTATATATATCTTTTGCCGGGAACACTTTCTATGTATTTAGTGTTTACTTACTTATGGATCTAGGCTTCGTTTGATGTAACGAAATGCTGGTGACCATGAGTTCGATATGTAGTGGAGTAGGAGTAGCATTGGAACTTCTATTGCAAGCATCCGTCCATGGGGTTGCATTAGATGAGGGAGGAGTTCCATTTTATTATGCACCATAGTTACTTTCAACAGCTTTCAGAAAAACATATATATCATTCAAATGACATGATGCGAACCGACTTGGTGACAAATGACAAAGGAGAAGTGGTGTTGGCATGTTAGCATTGACAACATAATTTCACACACGTTTCTCAGGTTGTTCCTCCTCCCCCGTCGCTTCAGCAACCCCGTCCGTCCTCTGCCTCCCATAGCAACCCATCGGCGCTCACCTGCTTCGCTTGCCACAGGCCGGGGCACTTCCAGTCTCGCTGCACCAATCCCCCTTTCTGCTTGATTTGTCGCTCTGATGGTCACCTCACGATCAACTGCATGGCTAGGCAGAAACCTCCCGCGGTCCTCCAGTTCGGCTCGGGCCTCCCTGGTTGCGCCTTCTTCGCCTTCGATGGTGACCTTCCTGTTCGGGAGGTGGCACCTGCGCTGTCTAATGCGGCGATTGTTTCGGTCAAAGACCAGAAGATTTCGCCCCAAACTCTTCTGGAAGGGCTTCGCATTTGGGATGAGGCTGGATGGGACTGGCAAGTTGTTCAGATGTCTGATTTTGATTTCTCCATGGTGTTTCCCTCCAAAGAATGTTTGCGGATGATTGCCTCATGCACCAGCTTCACCTTGCCTCTCAATCAATTGGTGGTTTCTGTCAAAGCGGCTTCTTACAATGGTACGGCAATTGGTCCTCTTTCTCAAGTTTGGGTTTTGATCGATGATTTGCCTGCTGGTCTCCGCTCGCCTGCTTTTCTCATGTCCTTTGGGGTTTTGATTGGGAAACCCATTGAGGTGGATGAGGACTCTCTGAACAAGGTTGGTCCTGCTAGGATGAAGGTTTGGTGTGTGGATCCTGAATGGGTGTGTGGCTCGGTTGATGTTTGCCCCTCTCCCAATGGTATTAGGCTTCGGGTGCGGGTGGAGGGGGCGGCGGCTTTCCAAGCCCCACCTCCCCCTCCTCCTCCTGCTAATCCTTCGGACAAGCATGATAAGGAAGGGGATGGATCTTTGGGTGGCCCTAATCAGAGTTTTGAGTCTAACCTTCGCTTCACTCAATCTGAATGGGATGGTCTGGCAGATTCTGAACGTGAGTTGTTTCAATCTCAAGCTCCTTTTGGTGTTGCTCCACGTGATGACCCGGTGATCCCGCCTGCTGCTCAGACTGTTTCGACTGTTGATGCTGATTTGCCAAAGTTCCCGCCTTGCTCTGCTACCCCCGTTTCTGGTGCCTGCTCCAATCTTCCTGTCCGGCCGCTCTCCCCCACTCGTTCGGGAATTGAAGATCTCCCTGTCTCCCCAGCTCGCGATATGGTGGAATCCCAGCCCCTCCCGAAGAAGAAATCCTCAGTGCGCAAGTTCTCGGCTAAAAGCCGGAACTCGTCGGGCTCAAAGCAATCCATGACGGGGATTTGTCGGCGTCTTGATCAAGATTTGGGTTCTATGTCCCGCTCCGGTCCCCATGTTGGTTCTCCTGCTGCGCGGTCGCCTGCTATTCGATCTCCGGTGTCCACGGCCCGCAAAGGAAGGCGGGTGGCGAATTCTGGTGGCTCTATCCTGGAAAGGGCGGAGAAGCGGGCTGCGGTGAAGGATCTCCCTCCCCCAGGTACTTCCCCAGCCTCCTCTGTTGCTGTTTCTCCGGTTCGGTTGGTCTTACCTTCTCTTTCTGATGATCATCTTTTAAATATTATGTCGGATGTGGGTGTGGTGGTTGATTCTTCTGTTGGTTCTCCTAGTTCGCTTCTTGCTATTATTCGGGCTAATGAGCTGGCTCAGGCAGCCATTGCTAAAGCCAAAGAGGTTGTTGCTTCTCGGGTCGAGGACTCTAGTTGTGATGCGGGGGTGGCTTCGGGTGCTGGTAGTGGCCAGCCCCTTTCCTGCCTATCCAAGAAGGGCACTAATAAGCGAGCTAAACCCTGCATGGCCCCCTGCAGGTCGAGCCTCCGTATCAAGAATCTTTCTTATAAATGAGGGCGTTATTCTGGAATATTAGGGGGTTCGGTGCTAGGGGGCGCCATGACCAACTTAAAGATTTGGTTCGTTCTAATTCTATTGATTTCGTGGGGCTGGTTGAAACTTTCAAGGATTCCTTCTTCCCTAATGATTTCTCTGCTATTGTGGGCATGGACAGATTTAATTGGCAATTTTTACCTGCTTCGGGCCACTCTGGTGGGATCTTGATTGGTTCTAATAAAGATATTTTTGATTTTGTTGCTTTTGACCATGGTTTTTTTTGGGCCAGTGTTTTTCTATCTCATAAAACTATGAATACCCTCTGTGAGTTTATCGTTGTTTATGGGCCTGCGGATCACTCTCTGTCGACCCTATTCCTTAATGAATTCTCGATAAAGATTGACTCTTGTAATTTACCGATGGTTATCGGGGGTGACTTTAATCTACTGCGGTGCCCTAATGACAAGAATAATGACAATCTCTCTTGGCCTTTAGCTAATGCCTTTAACGACTTCATTAG